ATCAAGTTGCCTTGCTATGTTCTGTGATGCTACTGGAACAATACAATACAGTATTTGGGGCATGTTAATTTTAGCAGATATTCTAAGGAATATTGTTCCACCTAATACAATAATTTAGGTGAAACAATAGTGACATAATTGACAAAATTACATAATAATTACAGTGCTTTAGAGTGAGCTATATTAAGGTATGACTCATCACTCAATACATAAGAAGGTACAGAATTACGTCAAATCCAGCAGTGCAGTGCAATATAGTGTAGTTGCAGCCAAAAATGAAATTTAAAATCAGCAATCTTTTGTTAAGAAGTGGGGGGAGGAAATGAATTAATGGAAAGTATGACTATGAATTTTGGTTTACTCTAACGAATCAAACTTAAAAAGTGATGAGGATTAATTGTACAATTGCAATTAAGATTTACATCTTTTTTAGAAAAATATATGATACATTTTAGTATTTGAACATCAGACTTCCTCTGGCAATACTTGTAATAATTTTCTTTATTGAAAACAGAACTATTCCACTCCTCAGCTGGGCAAATGATTGGTGAAGTGGAAAAGCAATGAAGGAATTTTCTGAGATAATTATGTTTTTTTTATTAGAATACTTTATCAGTGATTATTTTGAAAGAAAAGCTGCACAGCATAACAATCAAGTATAAAACACATAACTTCCCATGAAACATTTTGAATTATTTTCTATAATAGAACTTGACTGAAAACAATTCTTTTAAAAAGTAGTGAGGCTGAATTTATGCATCTTGGACAAAACTCTATTGAAAATTTCTTCCCTGAACAAGCCTTACTTGTTATGGAAAAAAAAAAACATATATACCTTCTATCATTTTTCTGTTTCCTTGATAATAAACATAGTCCCAGTTAAAGATATTATTCAACAGCACAATTATACATCATTAGCAAAGTTACTATACCAAGATTTTCTGTCAAAAAGTGTGATGATTTGTACTCACCAGGTGTAAAGTTATACCGAGCAGAAAACCCGATAGATTCCAGCTCACCATCAGCAAAAAATTTAATCCATAGGAATCTGCCGCTGGATTTTATTGTAGGTGGATTTTGCTGTCCACAGAAACGTCCAATGATTGGGGAAAAGCCAAAAGGTCCATCTCGTACTTCAATATGGTCAAATTTACACTCCCAAGAAGGCTCTATGGAATATTTTTCATCAAAGTGTAGTTCAATGCATTGTCTAGGGGCAGCTGGAGATGAAAAGAAAATTATCTTATAGTTTTCTAAATCAAGACCCTTCAAAAACAAAACAATCATCAAAAACAAAATCAAAGCAAATCAGATGTATCTATTTTGTATGCATCTTTTTGCTTAAAAAATTGTGTGAAAATTAACATGTCTATATTTGTATAGATTTTGCTACCATCATCTTGCTTGTATATCCTTCTCCTTCAAAAAAGTGCTCATGGCAGCAGTTCTTAGCAAAACTAAGAGAGATATCTGTGATGTAAAGCAAAATACAATTTAGGAATAATGGTTTCAAACACAAAAGATTTCCAAGAAACTTATGCATCTGGAAAAACAGTGTTTCCTTATATTGGGGGGGAATGTTAATTAGAATACGTTTTTACCTAATGTTCAGAAAGATGAAGAAAAAACTGATCAGAACTGTGCTATAGCAAGAAGGCCAAATTCTGTTCCTATATGTGGTGCAGTTAATGACAGGCTTGAGTTTCATTGCTTATACTCAGAATTACTTATCATCTCATTCGAAACATAAGGACAAGTATAATGAATTCTCACTTAAGAAACTAGATAAAGATGAAGCAAAATTAATGTCTAACCGAAGAACAAACAATATGCTACTGAAAATCTTGAAGAAACTTTATAGTGGTCACTTAATTAGACATAAAGCCATCTTTATTCATAGATACTAAAGCTAACAGTAGTCAGAATGATCTCTAAAACAAATATTCCCTGGCATCTCCTGTTTAAAGGAAAATAGTTACTGGTTGCACTATAGCATTTTCTTAAAAGGATAAAAAAAAAAAAAATCATTGTTTTGTCTACAAATTTTTAACAGCTGCAGCGTCCCTGGGGTGTGATGTTCCTATGCTTAATCCTGCTCGTTAAGGCTTGAAAGTTTCATATACTCACTATTCAAATATTATGCTATTAACCTACCTAAAGCTTTATTGTAATGTTCTAATGTTGCAAACTAGGTATGAAGATGAATTCTGCTAGTGTTGTTAGTGTCAAACAGCTTCATTCCTCAGTTTATGGCTGCTCTGCTTTCCATGGCAACAAAGAGATACCTGCTTCAAAAACGGTCTATGCCATCATTCTTGTGTATACACCACTAACAGAACACAGTTGTCCCTTTTAAACTTCCTGTGTTGGGACTTCAATACTCCATTGCACACCAAGAGGAGTCTTACAAGTGTTGGCCCATAGTTAAATGCTTAACAGGTCTTCTCTGAATCCAAGACTTGTGCAATACATGATAAAATTGGGCACGAGGCCCCCTCTGAGTTATAGCTCAGCCATTTGCTATGATTTTGAAAAGGAGCTTTACAGACATTTATAGGCTCAGTGTAATATGAATACTGTCTTTGTGGGTAAAAGAGGTTTGGGCCTACAGAGTTACACATTAACTCAGTGAAAGCACGGCCTGAGAAAAGACTGCTCAGTTTCCACAGCCTCCATACAGTACTCTGAATCTCACATTACAAACTAGTTTTAGGGTCAGAATATTGCCATGGTTTACAAGACAAGGCTTTTCCTGGTGAAGCTTGGTTCTTGCTAGAGGATCAGAATCATAACATCTCAAGGAGCCCTCAAGGAAGCTTCTACTTTCCCCCAAAAACTCCCGTGTGTAGAGGCTGCTCCACTTTAAGAATGGAGCATTGACTGTTCATAAGCACCACTCCTTCACTGTTAAATAAAACAAGGCTGGTGAATGAGTTTGGGGGCTAGACCACTGACTGTTCACACTCTTTAAATGTTAAAATTGCCTCCTGGCATCATTTTGGCCATGTCAGTCAGAACTGCCAAAACCTATTCTTAGGCTTGATGTGGTGGCCGGCATGAAACAAGGACCATTCACAGCAAGCAGTTGGTGTCTGTGCTCTTGACTGGGAAGGTGAAAGGAGTTAATCTGTACATGTGTGACTTTGCCTGTCAGTCTCAATGCCAGTGAAAATTTCCTGACCTGTTTTAGGTATTAGTATAGGTACTGCCTGTGTCCCAGCCTGCTCTGCAAACTAGTGTAAACAGGACAAGGTCCTTCCTCCTAACTCTCCCAAGGAAGGCAACGCTTCATGTTTCTGTGACTGTGAGGACTGTGATGATCACAAGATTGAACAGAGGGAGGAAAGGGTGCTATACACACATCCATGCAGCTTTTCATCATGCACTTTTGTATGCACCTCTGTGCTTCATCTTGTATGATATTTAGAGTTAAAGGTTAAATGTTTTGTTTGCAATAATCTACCTAAGAAAAAATCATTTCAACGTTCCTGGAAATGGCCATAAGGGATGAAAATGCACAATTCAAACACCCAACTTGAACTTCCTTTTAGCAAAAAAGGTAATGTTTTGGACTTATACTCTGGCTTTAGCAAAGTGGTTTTTTTTTGTCAAATGCAAGCTAAAACAAGCAGGTATTGTATAAATACATATCTTGTGCCGCAGCTTTTGCAACACAGAATGTACAAATATGGTCACAGTAAAACTTACAGAAATACAGTGAGAACAAGTACAGAATAATGGCTAATAATAATGTATGTATAGATATAGAGAAACAAAGCAGAACAAACAAACAAGCAGCCCAGAATATGTGATTCTTCCAGATGGGATTGGAATCTCACCATCTAATCAGAAAAGGAGGCATAGAGTTGTCATTTCTGGTATCCTTTTTCACAGGTAAAGCCCATTCACATATAAAGCCTATTCACATCTTCAGAACTTTTTATGTGACTACAATGTCAGAAAAAGTTGTTGTCAAGTACAAATGAAATATATTGAAGCTGTCTCATAAAATGATTTTACTTCAAATCTTAAAAATCTTTGATATTTATCTTCCAATTATCTTTCTTCAAAAATGTTTAATATCATGGAAAGACCGCTTAATGCTTGCATGTCTTGTCATAATTTTAATCTAATTATCTTACACAAGTGCTGTCTTGAGATTTTGCATTCAATGAAAAAAAGGGCATTGCCTTCCAACTTACAGTGGAAGAACAGTTGCAGCAAAAACAAAAAAAAAGTTGAGCGGAAAATCTATTTCCATTTACCAGGCTGTATGAAACGAGACATTGAACTCAACACCTACCCCCCATCTATGTGAGCTGCTGCAGTACTAATAGTTATCAATAATCTCTGGTCTTTCTGATTGTCCAGCTATTTTTGATAAGAAAGCCACCTATATCCTCCTTTCGAAAGAGGATTCTTTCCTTGTTTTGATAAAAAACTTTTTGAACACCAAAAACCCTGTGAAATACAAAAGGACTTTTAGCAGAGATTTTTCGTACAGTGATACATGACCATTCTCTAACACCTGTGAAATATCTAGGATTAAAGAGTATAATAGTCATTAGTGAAAACATGGAAGACCTTCAAGAGAGCTTACTCTACAAGTCCACAAACATATGAAGTGGAAGATTTCTTTTGTATCTCCATAAAGCAATTCTAGTCCATACCTATATTTATAAACAAGCATTTAATTACTAAAAACTGAAGAATGGATAAAATCTTACAAATATTTCACTTACAGGATTTCCAAACCAATTCTTAAGATATATTGTGCAAAGTATGACTATGCCACTCCACAGATACTTTTAACACAAACCAAAGCCTTTGTTCCTGCAAATTCTCCCATGCAAATTTCCCTTTGGAGCACACATGCCAATTTTTCTGCAGTCTGGCAAAGGCTAATGTTGCCACTGCTGCGGTTCTTCAGGGCAGCTGTGAATTTTGCCAGGTTAGAGTCATGAATATGTGAAACAAGAATGAAATTGGGCCAACAGGGAATTTACTGTGTACACTCAGCTATTTCCTATGTTTTCTATATGCCAAATAAGACTGAAAGAAAAAGAAACAAGTTAGCAATGCACTTTGAAAGGCAGATGAGATTCACCAGAAGCTACTCTGTAGCATAATGATTTTTGTACTGACTCCACAACTTCTGGATGACCTAAAGGATTTATTTTAGAAAGGCATCCAATATGGACTTTAAAATTCATAGTTGTTCCAATAGTTAATTATCATTACTACTAAAATAGAAGGAAAAAAAAAAAAAAAAAAAGAAAAGAAAAAGAAACTTCTAGCTGTTTGATCCACTCATGCCTTTGAGTGCTACAATAGAAGCCTCTGCAGTCAGAAATCCTCTTCTCTGTTAGAAATTCAGTCTATGATCATGGCAATTTTTGCCAGCTCCTTTTCTTCACCCAAGTAATTTTGAAATTATAAAAGGCTTGCATATATTTAAGATGAGCTACAATGTGGAGGAAATAATTTTATAATGAGATGGAATTCAATTTTATTATAACACACTACCTGCTGGAGTCCTCACTCAAGTCCAGTAAAGTCAGTAGGAACTGTGTTTGAGCACAGCCATCAGAATTTGTCCTAGATTGTGTTTGATAGTAAAAAAAGGAAGGAACTAACGCAAGCAGGCAGAAAGGAACCTGGTGATTCATATATGTATTTAAACCCATATCATACAGCTGTCAGTATGTTATACACATTCCTGGTATGCCAAACTCTTAAAGACATACAAAGGGGAGACAGCAATGTGGGAATGCTATTATGGATCATATCAACAGTCCCCCTAGTTTGGTAGTTAGTATTCAACACAGCCAGAAGCTATTTGAAGTGTATTAGAATCTCAATAATAAATATTGGAATAAGATGCATATGGAGATGTTTCTGTCTTACTCCAAAATTGAGTCGATGTTTATGTCCTGGATTAGCAAGGATTATCCACTTCATAGACTGTTATCTGACCTCAGAGACAGTGCTATTAGTAAAATAATTAATCCTTTATTTGCAATCATTTAATTGTGAGTTCCACAGAATATAAAAGATATGGGGAAAAGTTTTCACTTGTTAGTCTTCTACATTATTTTATGCCATCTTCATATGCCATAAAAAGAATAAATATGGACAAATAATTGACTGTAAACACAAAATAATTTTTGTTGTCCTTCAGTGTTTCTCCTTTTGCCTTTTTTGAAAACTGACACTTTTAAAAATATTATTCCTCAGACATCTTACTACATGCCTATTTATTTTTGTGATATTTGTCAGGGATGACTATTTAGATAGAAATAGACACAGGGACATCGGAGCTGAAAATGTGCAATATGCATGGTTCTCATCAAATTATATATTGATAGAGCTGCTATCACAATGGATTTTAAAATACCTAGTTGCAATCCAAACTGTTCATTATGGCATGACAGGAAGCAGAAAATATCAGTGTCGTAAGAAATTACGTGCAACTGTTTTTTGCCAGATTGATTTTTCCTGTAAAGTATAACAAGAGGTCTGCTGAGTTCAGATTGCTCTTTTTACTTTACATTGCTCCAAACTTGTCAGCATGGAAATTCGTCTTCATCATAGAAGTTGTTTGATTAAATATTTCCTTTCTAAATTGTTCTCAGACATTTCCAATTTGAATTCTTCTAAATCAAGTTATTTCAACAGTGTATTTTGCCACCTTTCAGCTTATTAACAATATTTTTATAAATACTTAATTTCTATAATAAAGACAAAGGTCTTTCCAATAAAGGGCTTTCAAGCATCTTCTTACTGAGAGGAGGAGTACCTCATGGCCTGAGATACTGGAGTAGGGTTTACAAAAATGGTAATTTTTTTCTTTTCCACACCCTTTCCCTTTAACGATAAAACATGTCTCTGTGTTTCAGATCCTTGAAGATAAAATAGGCCTACTTCTTCCCAGCTTCACAGGAATGTTAGAAAGATTGATCAATATATGCAAAAAGACTTGCAACATAAGTTTAACAAAAAAAATATAATGCCAAAGAGTACATATTGAACTTATATGTTTATCTTTTTTAAAAAATGTATTTTAATTTTAAGTAAATTATTAGACTATGAAAGAACTTAAATGTTTACCATACATCTGCTTAAATTCTGGACTAAAGTGGGAAGACTGGGCAGGCAAAAAATTTCTTTAGAGGGCTTGTTTGACTCCATGATTTATCATCACCTCTTTCCTTCTGACTTCAATCAGGTTACCTAGCACTAAAGTGGAATTCAGAGATCTCAGAAAAAATTTTTGTTTTCCCCCCCCCCCCCCCCAAAAAAAAAAAAACCAACACATAAAACTTTTACTATCCATCCTTTCCCTAGATGGTTTTTATGAAATATATTTTTTAAATAACTCAGCAATAGATTTGGAGAGACAGACTGGTTTCTGACAGGGTCTAGTGGGGGGTTCTAAAGCAGCTAATTAAATTTCAATCAGCTATACAACTTCGGAAATCTCTCTCAATATTACCTGTATCTTTAGTAAAATACATATTTCTTTCATTCCTGGCTCCAACATTTGTAGTTAGTAATTCTGTCCAGTCCAACCAAGCATGGATAGAACAAGTGTCAGTGTTGTATTCTGCATGTACTCACAACCCACGAACAAACCTTCTTGGTTCCAATGACTTACTATTCTGTACCTGATTCATCTTTTCTTCTACTAAGCTCTGACAGTGTCTGATCTCTATTACTTTCCACAGAGTCATTTTTACAACAATCCCTTCAACACCTGTTGTGCTAAGATTGGTGAAAAGAAAGTGTGTAACTTGCTTGTAATATACTTCTTTCTTACATCACCTTCATGCCTGCAACTGTTTGCCTTTTAAAAACTGTGTCTCACTGCTGTTTGCTGTTAATGTTTATTCTTTTCTGGTTTTGGGTTTGGTTTGGGTTTTGGTTTTTTTGGGGGGGTTGGGGTTTTTTTTTTTTTTTCATTTATCTTCATTTCTCATGAGCACTTGGATGGAAAATAATTTTTACACCCACTATGTGGATATTTTCTCTATTACTTTCTTTACTGTACTTCACCTAGCTATGTTTGACATCCCTGATTCAGTTATGATAATTTTAAAATACGTATACAAAAGTAAAAAGCATTTTTGTTTCCTATGTTCACTTTTTTTACTCTTTGAAAAATATGATTTCTTCTGTCATGTTACAGTATTTTAGGTTCTGTTCATTCTCTGAATATCCTGAAATAAATTATACTGTGTTTATTACTAAGTGAGTCATGCATACTTACCACCTGAACTAATTTATGAGTGATGTCAGGAAATAAATCAAGTATTTTCCAGTATTTCTTGGTATGCTCTACAAAATATTTATGTTTTTATTAAAAAAGTAGAAAAAATAAAAAAATGCAGAGATAGAGCTTCTCTAAAAAGATTTATCATGATCATGTAGGCTTTACCTACTCTTCACATATAATAAAATAAAACAAATTTTTAAATATACAGTTGATGATAGAATATAAAGATTCTTTGGCTGGTCACCTTCTATAATGTAGACACACTCTCTGTCAGGAGGATACTTGTTGGGATAGTTGGGAGAAGTGAAGATGCCTCCTTCTGCATATTTTGTCCAAGTTCCACACTGCACTGGCTTCTGTCCTTCGGAAGGAATTTGCTTTTCTGTGAAATGATCACATTAAGCATTTGTGATTAGCTCATAAATTATTATGTCCCTATGACACTTAGAACACTCTTATAGAATAAAGCAGTCAGTGGCCTCAGCTTTTTTCTGTTGAGACTAAGAGTATGATTATTGACCTGGGGAAAAATGCAGCTGTCTTTTGGGGGTACAAACACATAATTCCTACTCAAAACATATTTTGAAAGCAGAGAAGAGGCTTGGATATCTAGGGGAAGATATATTTATAATGTTTTTTAAATAATAACCTTGCAGGGAAAGCATGCCTTCAAGAAATGGGAGACAGGAGTTTCCTACTCCTATACCTCAAAAGGCTCAAGTATGTGCTCTGTCAGCAAGCTACGTGCTGTAATACAAGTAGACATCAGAGGTGCAACGTCAAGTACAAAACCACAGGACTGTGATAGAATTTACAAATTGTTTTAAAATTGTGGCACCTTTATATTCACAGGACAGAGATAGATAGGGGAATTCCTGGATTCTGGTTCATAGATTTTTTTTTATCTTGTTGTTTGCTGTAAAATTAATAAACAGCTCTGAGGCCAGGAACCACAGCCCAGAACTTTCCTCCTCCTAGGTAAATCATCAGAGGGCAGTCAGAGCTTCTTGTTTGCTTTCTTCCTAGCCCTGGACCTCTTGCACTCCTATCTGTACATTGTCAGAGAGCCTGTAGACAAAGGTTTGGGTCTGTTCATGCTGAAGAGGATGACAGATAACTTCCTCAGCATCATGCTTTAACAGGTAGGCTAAAGCAAGATGGATTTTTCAGAGGGAAAAGTACCCAGGCCAGTACCAAAAGGAAGGATAGTAGGTTCTAGACCTTACACAGGTGTCTGAAGAGGGCTCCTGGGTTTTGCTCTGGATGAGGTATCTAAATCCAAGGAGTGTCCCATCTAACTCAAGCCTCCGGTATGTAGAGCTAAATTGTTTGAGGCTCCCTCTTATAATCAATGGAGAGAGACAGGCACCTTCCAAGAATGATTTTTACCACCTGAGATCTGCCTAATGCTCTGCAAGCATTTCTCTTCCTTCCTGGTCTGTATCCAAGCTGAGTACAACACAGACCCCAATTTCCTGAAATGAATTCAGCCCTGCAGGGACTGAGCATTCAGACGTGAGTCCAGCCACACATTCTGTTTAGCAGCTCTCCCTGCTTGGCTCTTACTACACTTAGTATCCAGGGCTTTTAAGAACCTCTTTCTATTTCCATCCTAGACAAATGTACTCATGATGCCCAATTTCAGATTTCAAATTCTACTTCAACAACCAAAATGATCTTAAGTGTAGATAGCTCAGTGCCCAGGCTGGACTTCCAGGGGGAAAGTGAGGGCACTTCACAGTCTACAGTTTGAGTCAGACTGAGTCTTCAGTTAGATCCAGCTGTGGATCAGGTCACTAACTTGTTAAAAAAAGTACCACGGGATTTTTGTGTGTGTACAGGCACACTAATACTCAAAACAAATGAACAAAGGACAGATACTTGAAGGAGGTGAACTACTATAAATTTCAAGAACTAAACTAACAACTGAAATCCATACCTCTAATATAATGTCTGGAAAATATGTCTGAAATTTACATACCTGTTCCTTTTTTGGTTGCCCCAGAAAAATGTAGGATGATTAGACTTGCTACAACTGAAAGAGAAATATGCATTAGTGTGATAGCGCCTGCAATCAAATCAATTGTAAGGAAATTAAATAGAATTACTGTAAAAAAAGTTCATGTTTACTTGCATCTTTAAATTGCACATTTTGTATAAACAAGTTTCTTTGTGATCTGTCCTTGTAAGTATTTATCTTTGTAAATGTATCCAAATAAAGAGGAGATCTTTTGGGTTTCAAATAAAAGCCATGGGCACTGATGTTTCCCTACTATTTTTTTTAATATTTTTTAACTTTAAAGAAAAACATTTTAACAATATTTATTTATGTAATCATAGCTTGGTCCAGTAATAGAAAAGCAGCTGCTTTTAACAGAGGGAGACAAAGGCCTGCTAAGTTTCAGTGCCACTTGGACTCACTAATGTCTCTTGCTATGGCATAACAAAATCTAAAATGAGTACTGGGAATATGAAAGAAGTGAGGGGTTGGGTTCTTCACATCCATCAAAGCATTTGCAAATCCCAAGTGAAGTAAATTATTGTGTGTGTTTAACAGTCTCATTAATCTAGTTTGTCTGACTTGTCAAGAGGGTGTTGCTTTGTGCTGCAGTGAATCTGCAGCCCATTTTACAAATACAAATCTCCTATCTCCAACTGTGATAGGACCGCTATGCCTCTTCAGAACAAGTGTGACCTTTCTGAGATGGACTTCATTCTGTAGATAGTTCCTGAGTTTCTGGGAGTTTCCGAATATAACATTTTAACTAGAAAAGGCAAACACATAGGCCAGTAATAATGCAACTGCTTTGGAAGATCAAAGTGACTAGCTAGCTACCTGATGCAGAAATCATGTATTGATGATAGCATTTTCTTGTCATCACCCATATCTTCTTTGGCTGTTGGAGAAAGTGGGATAGCAAGAGCATAAGAGAACAGATCCATCAGTTCTTGGAGTGCTCAGGGTTTTGACCCCACCTAGTTTGGCGTTAAGCCTGGACATAGTGCCCAGACTGCGCTGAAGTTAAAGCAGAGATGAAGTTGCGTGTTTATTCTGAGTATTTTGGATTGATTAGCTGCCATTTGTATTGTTGACTATAATGAGGAATTGATGGACCTGTGGTCTTTAACAAATGTAATTGAATGGCATACTTTCCTCTTCTTATCACCAAGAGACACCAAGAGAGACATCTCTTCATCGTCACCAAAAGAGACATCATGGGCTAGTAACCAGCTACCTAAACGATCCTCTCAAAGATGGTGCTTTCATAATTTTCAGCTTTTACACTGCAAATTGTGTGCAATTTTTACACCAAAGGGAATCAAATCTATATATTTCCAGTATTCTGATTGCATTGAGATCTTTGTTCCCATGCCTTTGACTCTTCCCATGTGACAGCAGGTTTGGGGCACGGATGATGGCTACTTTATTAAGCAGGGAGCTTAAGCTTAAGCTGAAGTTCTGGGAAAATGAAGGCTTGGCAGTATATCCACTATTTCTTGGTCAGGCTCACAACCCCTGCGTCTTTTTTAATCCCTCAGCTAACAAAGATGGAAGTTGGCAGAGCTAGTAGTTAAAAACTCTTCTGTGTCATGGGCATTCAGTGAGAACATTACATCTTCTGCTCAGATCTGAATGCTACCCAACCATTCATGCCCTTACTCTCCTCAGGGACGGATTGTGAAAATACGTGCTAGCTGGGACTCTGCCTGCCGGCTGTATCAGAATCTGAAGGCAATGCAGGATTTGCCCATTTACTAAGTTGCTCATTTACTTTAGCTGTGTTTCATGCAGTGAACATACTGCAGCTATGCCTGTAATTCTCACCAGTCAAAACCTATTTTCTCAGTAGTATAAAGTGGACTGGTGCTAGAATATGGAGCCAGTTGCCAGCATTCTTTCTGCTCACATATTTATGGAAGGTAGAATAGAACGCACAGCAGCCAAATGAACCCCCTGTGAGAAATGTTTCTTCTAAGGCAACTAATAACAATATCTGATTCTTACAGGTTCATTTCAAGCACCTTTATCTATTAGCTCTCCCCTCCTTCTCTATAGGGAAAAAAACTGAAGTTCAGGTAAGTAAAGAGAGTTGGTCCAAGTCACAGAGATATTCATACTAAGATGACAGAAAAACACAGGTCTTTTCAATTCCAGCTCTAGATGCTAGAAAGGATGCTTCCAAGTCACAGACCTATGTTATTCCAAAGCAGGGAGCTACACTTACATATCATCATGTCAGTATTGATTATTAATAAGGAGTCAAAACAATATTGATGATAAAATGTAATAGACAAGAAGAGACTAAGTTTTTTTCTAGACGTATCATATCTAATGTTTGGATAGACAAAATGACATATTTCTCTCCCATTAAAAAAAAAAAAAAAAAAAAAAAAAAAAAGAGAGAAAGCCTCTCGATTTAGTGGCATTAACACCAACATCACCAAAATCTGTATATTGCCAGAAAGTAGTTAAAATTATGGGCTTTATTTGAAAGGATAACACAACAATTTCCACTTAAGTGATCAAGGCAGTCCATTTTATTCTATGACCCCTTGCCTTTTGCTTTCTCAAGCCACCTGAAAAGAACAGCGCTTCTCACAGACAGGAAAAAAAAAGAGGAAAAGAAAAAAAAAAAAAAAAAAAAGACCCCAAAGAGACCAATCATGCAATCTTCACTCACTGAAAACTGACACTTGGGAAGCTTTGACAGTACAGCAACAATATTGTGATTATCTGGGTTTGAGAATTATTTTAAAGAAGTTTGCATCAATTTTCTTGCTTCATTCTCTGTCTTCCCCCTCCCCCTTTTCCTCCTAATCATGGGTGTAATTATAATCATACTTTCTAGTGCCACTCTGATTATGCATCTTTGCATCTTTTTGGATCTGTGCACTTTTCCATTACAAGCTGTCCACTGGGAGATTTATCTCTTGGCCAGGCAGCTTTTTAGAGGCTTTGATTTGGCACAGACACCGCTTAGCCTAGCAAAGAGTTGTTGGACAAGCAATACTTGGCCATAGCGCTGCTATTTTACAGGTGTGGGCGTAGAGAGAGCTGCTGGAAGGAACTGTGGCCGGCCAAGCCCCTTCAGGAGAGAGAGCAGACCCTCTGCAAAACTGAGGCGGGAGTGGGGGTCCCACGCAAGCAGCCTGAGGTCCCTGAGGGTCTTCGACGAGTGATTGTTACATTTCGGTACCTCCCTGCC